GAGATGACCAAACATACCATTACATTTGTCTGATCTGGACCCATCATTTATGGTCATCCAAAAAGGAATACGATTTGTACTCCGGTACGTATTTTCGTATCATCAACACCTAAAAGTGTTACGAACAGAACTCTACTATCCGTTCCTAACTTACACACACATACTCCGAATGAGACTAACCAATATCAAACTTAATTGAACTAAGTATTTATACTAAGTCTTATCTTATTAATGGGCAAAACTACTAGGCTCCCAATACCATCTCTGATTAGACAACACTATCATAATTTAGTGTATATTTTAACACGGAGTATTTAGGTATTACTATACTTTTATCTTTCTCTTAATAATACTTATATTATTATTATTATTATTATTATTATTATCAGGTAATAGTAGATATATATCTCTTAACACATATAGAACCATATCTGGTTCACATATCGTATATCATCAAATACATTTCTAACACATAATCCAGGAAATAAGCATATAGTTCACATATAAACATTTCGACAAATATTTAATACGTTTAATTAATACTTATAGTAAAATCATGTCCATGAAAGGGACTATTGTTAGTCCCAAATCTGCTTGTGTATCAATCAGATCCGTTTGTGGTGCGGAATCCCAATCAAGCGAATAATGCTAGATCAAATGAAGAAGAAGGAGAAGAAGAATAATATGAATCTATGATGTATTCAAGATTGGAATGATGAACAATACACAAGATTCACACACACTTGCACCTTCTCTCTCTCTCTTGGTCGTACACTCTCTTCTGTTCATCAACCACTCCTCACCCACCTAACATCTATTTATATATACTTGGGGAACATGCGTCGTAGATGGGTTTACGCCGTGAACTGGTTTACGGCCGTAAACACTCACTTGGCCACACAGCCGCAAATGTATATTACATTACAGAAAAACCAGTTGCCTAGAAAAGCAAAGTATAAACCAATATTTTAGACCCAACAACTATGCACTCACTTGACATAGGTGGATGACTGGTGATTTGGGAAGAGCTTTGCCTAACACCTTAGCTTTACCTTTGACATGACCTACGTAGGATTTATACTGAGTCTTAGTGTAATATTCCTGGTGACTAATGATAGTCAAGATTCCTCACTAATCCCAATGTCTACATCAAGATCTATCAAGTAAGGAATAATTAGGTAGGATCATATCGAAGTTAGGGTCCATTTGGTATACATAATATACTGTTTGGAAATCTCACTTTAAACATCTCATTAAATCCAGCCTAGACATCACTCCCGTAAGTAGATCAATCAGTATAATGAATTGAAATCATTGATAATTCTTATTTGTAGATTCATAACGATGATTATGATTATAAATATAAGTTACCCTAAAAGCGATATAAGTGTAGCTTAACTTATAGAGATTTTCCTGACAAAAGTCCGGAAATTACACTGACATAACTCTGACTCGATAGCTTCCACTTGACGGGCTCTCAGAGACTATAGATCCTCGCTAGAATATCCTAATTGCTAAAGAAATTCGAGTTTTTATAAAAGAAATCTAGAGGGATTGCTCTGGTGGTGTGAGAGAACTGAATGGGGTTTGCCTGCTATTTATAGGCTGAAAATCCCATTTACGCGCCGCGCCTTTAGAGGTGTGCACCGCACCCTTCTGAAACGACGTTCCTCTCGCTTTGTGACATGTGGCATGCTCAAACTGGTTCTACGTGGTCCCCTTCTAAAAGCGTGCGTCGCGCCTTTTGTACGCATGCTGCAAAATGTGAATCTTGTAAATTCTGTAACTTCTTCATACGAGCTCCGTTTTTTGACATTTCTTATATCTATGCGCAGCTATCGACGGGATCTACAACTTTCATATGAGCTCCGTTTTGACGTTTCTTATAGTTATATTTTATATAGGCTTAGACTGTTAAAGTCCGTATAAAAATCATAACTTTCTAATATGATATCCGTTCTCGACTGTCTTTATATCGATGGATAGGTATTGACAAGATCTTAAACTCCCATTTAGATTGTTTTTCTTAACAATAAACCATTCTCAATTTTGGTTTCTGAGTCGGACACTGTTATACTGAAACTTTGAAAAATCTTAACTTCCTTATATGAAATCAGATTGGAGCGTTCTCTATATGCACACTCTTGGTTTTACGATTCCTATGACTTTTGTTTGCATTATTTATCCTAAATAACATTATATAAAAAACATCTATTTATCGTCGTGATGAATAATTATCCTATTACTCTTTAATCATCTAGCCCTATCTTACGGGCATTATAGAAACTTCCCTCTTTGTTCACATAATATAAGAGGTAACAAATTGCTTCTTGACTGAAAGTCTAATATCCGAACAACTAGGTTTAGCTTGAAAGCTAAAGGTGAACCATAATTGGGGAATCTAACTTTACTTACTTTCGGGTAAAGAAAATAAGAAAAAGGTGCCCTATCAGCAGATGCTTCAGCCGATGACTTAAGGCGTCTTGGCCAGACCATATCATATTTATTTGACATTCAACTTCAAAGCTAAGTGGTAAAGACACAAAATCCGATATCCGATAAACTAGGCCATTTCTCTTACGATCACTAATGACTCAACCGCGAATAATGAAAGAGTTTGACACTCGACCACGATGTGTCTCTGTTGTTGTAGATGACTATAATTCCACCGTTAGACAAAACTAGTAATAAATATATGGAATCCGCTTTTCACATAACTGCTTAGCTCTTGGACATCACTTGAAGTTTAAGCATAAGGATGTATTTAGGATTGATTGCGGAACCGAGCAGAGATAACCTCGGACGGACGGACATGATGGTTAGTTGCTTACTACGAGTAAGAACTTAGGTAGGAGATAAGAAAAAGGATAGGATATGAGAGTCTATTTCATCCGTCTTTTGATATATCCTTATAGTCACAATCATATTATTTGTATTAAAAGATACAAAGTCGGTGAGTAACATGACACAAAATGGTGATCAAAGATGAGTATACCATATGATTTAAAAACATCTATAATAAGAGTTTTTTCAAAAGCTATTTTAACCCAATTTTTTTTTCTTAAATTGAAATATATATAATGGAGCTTTTTAAAACCAAAGTTTTTTCAAATTGTTTGCTAATTAACAATATCTTCTTATGAGTTTTTGTATAGGTCCTATATTTTTTCACCTAATTGTAACTAAACAATTAAAAAAAACTCTATTGGAGATATAATAAGTTCGTTTCTTTTGAGTTTTATAATGAAAAAACACTTGAAAAACTTTCATATCGTCCACAACAAAAAAAATATATTCTTTTTAAACAAAAAACTTTAATTTGAAACTCTTTTTTATCCTCATTACTATGAGAAATTTTTTACTTTTGATTATCTATATTTTACTTTTATAGTTGCTTATTTGCTACAAGTTAGAAAAACTAGGGGTGAGCAAAAGCCACACCGCAACTAAAATTAACTGCATAAACCGTAACTGATAAACCGCAATCGCAATAAAAACTGATGGTGATGTTTTATGTTTTTCAAAAACCGATAAATTTACGGTACGGTGCGGTTATTAGTATTCAAAAACCGCAAAAGAATCGCACCGCACCGCATATGTTATATATTATTTTTTTATTAATTATTAATATACTAAATATTAAAAATAAGACAAGTTTCATAGATGAAAGAATGATGAAATTCTAGAAGACAAAAGTGTTGGTTTTTTGTTATGTTTAACTTTGAAAAATGATGAAATTTCACAATTTTAAGATATTTATTGTTAATTACTAGTGATTTCATATTTTTAAGATATTAGTTATTTGTGATTTTAGTTAATTGTCTTATACCTTATTCTTTTTTTTATTATTATTATTACAAGTAATATGTTTGAACTCTAAACTGTGGTTAAAAACCACACAAAATAACCATACCAAATCTATGCGGTTAATAACCGAAACACAAAAAAAAAAATAAAACCGCACCGCAAAAATAATCGCACCAAACGGTTTTGAAAATGGATTAACCGCATTTACGGTTAGTGGTGAGGTTTTGACTAATAACCGCACCAAACCGCACCGCAGTCGCCCTAAAAAAAACTATAAGACCCATCCATCATCGAAAAAGCCTAAGAAAAAAACTTGCTAATCAGTAAGCTTAGTGAAAAAGCTTTAGTTTGAAAAAACTCTTTTAATAGCTTTTTCAATTTTCAAAATCTTTTTTTTGCTTGAAAAATTCATACTATATCATGATGCTCTAAGCTAACTTATTTTGTTGACATTTAGTGTTTGATGAGACAAATAAATTAGTTTATAAAATAGTTTTTTTTAATACTTATTATAAGGTAATGAGATTTTTTTTAATTATATTATTATATGTCATTGATTTTTAATTATATATATGAATATCTATTCTAGTAAATGAAATTTTTTTTGCCACATGTCATACTCACATTGATTTGGTCACATGTCATTTTGTGGTTAATTTCAATTAAATTTTTTTCACATGACATTTTGTGGTTTTTTCCATTTTATTAAATTTACATAATATTAAATATAATAATTGTAATAAATGTAATAATAAATGTATATAAATTTTAATAATTGACTTTCCTTCTAATTTCAACATTTCTAAATTAAAACTTCATTAGTTTCATTTGTTTATTTATCCAAATTATTTGTTTAAATTTAAAAGAGAAAAAAAAACACTTCAATTTTAATAATTCAGTATTTTTTTAATTTTTTTATAAATTCAAACTTTTTCAAATGTTTAGAATTTTTGCATTTAAAAAATTTTAAATGAACCCACGTAATACATGAGTTTTACACCTAGTTTGTTATATTTAGGACAAACTTATCAATTATTTATTAACCAAATATTCATAATTATTTTTATTTTTTTGGTTATGACATTATTTTTAAAATATAAAAGACAATAACAGAAACAAAAATAAAATATTTTATTCATTTTACTTTTGGTGGAAATTGGTAAAGTTTGAAGGTAGAAATTCAAAAGATGAAAACAAAAATAAAGTTTGAAGGTACAAAATCATGAACGAAAACCTATTCCTTGGATGCTTACAGAAAGGAAAGATGGGATCCTCCATCGCCATTATTATTATTATGTCTTCGATTTCAAGAAATTAACAGAACTCTCTTTCTCTCTCATGTTCATGTCTTCTTCTTTTATCTAATCTCTCTCTCTCTCTCTCTCTCTCAGAAGCCCATGTCCATTTTCGTCCCAGAAAATCCAGGTACTTTCTCTCTCTATACATACAAACATATGTCATATGTCCATCTATGTATAGATCTCTTCCGACTTACATGCTTCTTCAGTCTTCTGATTTTTACATTCATCTTTAATCTTGTAATGGGGAAACAAGTAGTTGTGTGAAGAACACTGCTTACATTCAACAATTTTAGTGGTAATTTTGTAGCCTCCGATTCCAAATTTGAGAATTTTAGGTCTTTTTATGATCTGGGTTTTCTTCTATTTTTATTTTCCATTTTCTTTGTGATGAATTTGCAGATCTTTATTTAGGTTTCAGATCTGGGCATCCCATTCTTAGATCCCTTTTCGGTCCTCTTATGAATACACATGCTGTTCTTGAATTTGCTTGTCGCCCATTGGATTCTCGTATATGTATGTTAATTATAGATGTAATTTCAACTTGGGGCAATGAATGTTCGCTTTTCTCGAAAGTCTGTTCAAGATTTTCTTTAAAAGTTTCAACTTTTTTAACCCATTTTGAGATTAGATCATAACGAAAATTGTTGTTCGATTAGGGTTTTTTTTTTTTTTCTGTTTAACGATTTACCTAAAAGGAAATTGACTTTATTATTTTTATTTTTATCTCTCAATACATCGTATATCATTGCAAACTAAACACAGTTATTGAAAAACAAGCGATTTTGTCTATAATCACTTGTTCTTGCTAGGTTTAGTGTCTATTTTCCATTTTCACAACAAAGATTATTCGATCACAACAATAATCACATTATGATAGTACTAAGGTTGATTTATTATGTAGTAAAAGGTGTTCTTTTTTGTTTAGGGATAAATCCAATAAATGGCAATGTACTTCGGTTTATTTGTTTATCATAGCATCTTACTTTTAATTATTTCTTTTACAACATTGTGCTTTAATTTTATTCTTCTTAATACATTGTAATTTGACATATCTACCCACTTATAGCAGTGTACTCAAATCTTTTTCTTATTAAAACCTTATACCTTGAAAAATCTTAGCCAATTATAGCACTGTAATTTCAGTCTTTTTCTTATTAAAAGTTATACCTTGAAAAATCTGCCCAATTATAGCATTGTACTTTTAGTCTTTTTTCTTATTAAAACGTTGTATTATGAAAAATCTATCCAATTATAGCATTTACTTCCAATTTTTTCCTTATTAAAACATTCTACTTTAAAAAATCTACCCCATTTTAACATAGAAAATTGTTTTGTATTTCGATGAAATAACTATAACCCAATAGATTTTTCAAATTACAATACTGTAATAGGAAGAAGCTATAATACACAAATTACAAAGTACATTATCATGCATTTAATCCTTTCTTTTATGGTAGGTAGAGGAAAATGTTTATTGTTTAACAATTTTTTTCTTGAACATTTGATCAATGTTTATAGTTTGCTACTTTCTGTAATAATATCTAGTCTCCATTTTTTCATCTTGTTTTAGGTTTATTATTGGCTTCAAATTCAACAGTTTCCACTATGATCAAGCAATTTCTCGCAAAAATCCCTCGGAAATCATCAAAATCCAACACATCAGATCCCGATGGGGGCAGTTCTTCAAGTAGCATAACAAATGACGTAAGCAACAACAATGGCTTCCTCAACACATACAACGCCATTTCAAGTCGATTAAACACCGTTAAAAAAATGTCTTCCTCGATTTTCCCAGCCAGCATCATGCCAGCTGGCGAAATGATCGATCCACGTGTCCCCTTCAAAGATGTCCAAAATTCCGATAAACTAAGACTACTCATCAGTAAGTTAAATCTTTGCTCAAAATTATATGATTTCAGTGATCAAAATCAAGATTCTATCGAGAAAGACATAAAGCGACAAACTTTATCAGAAATCATCGATTTTCTCTCATCCGAATCCCCAAAACTCACCGAACCCGCGATGTTTTCCATTTGTAAAATGTGCGGGAACAATCTATTTCGCGATTTCCCGCCAAAAAACTCGGTTTTTTTACAACGTGGTGAAACGGAAGATGAAGAACCGTGTTTTGATCCCGCATGGTCGCATCTACAACTTGTATACGAGATTCTCGCTCGATTTCTAACCCAAACTTCCCTCGATCCAAAAATTGCCAAACAATATATCGATCACTCGTTCATATTAAGATTACTCGATCTTTTTGACACTGAAGATCCTCGAGAACGCGACTGTTTGAAAGCGATTTTGCACAGGGTTTATGGTAAATTTATGGTTCATAGACCCTTTATTCGGATGGTTGTGAGCAATATTATATACCGATTTGTTTTTGAAACTGAAAAACACAATGGGATTGCTGAATTGCTGGAGATTTTTGGGAGTGTGATTAGTGGGTTTGCGTTGCCATTGAAGAAAGAACACAAGATGTTCTTACTTAGGGTTCTTGTTCCTCTTCATAAACCGAAATCTGTGGGGGTTTATCATCATCAGTTGACTTATTGTGTTGTTCAGTTTGTAGAGAAAGAACCGAAATTATCAAGTGATGTTATAAAAGGATTGTTGAAATTTTGGCCTGTTACAAGTAGTCAAAAACAATTGATGTTCTTGAGTGAGTTGGAAGAGTTGCTTGAAATGATTCATACGGATGAGTTTGAGAAGATTATGGTTCCTTTGTTTAGACGTATAAATTGCTGTCTTCGTAGTTCTCATTTTCAGGTAATTTTTCAAAGTTTTTGTAGTTTACCCAAAGGGTATTTTAGACATTTGACTAATAGAATTTTTTTTTTTTTAAAACGTGTAGGTGGCTGAACGAGCACATTTCTTATGGAACAACGAACACATACTCCATCTTATCATGTGTAATCGACAGGTGATCATGCCTCTTGTTTTCTCCTCTTTAGAACAAAACTCCCAAAAACATTGGAGTAGGACAGTTGTCAACCTTGCACAAAACATGATGAAAATGTTGGACGATGTTGACCATGAGTTGGTGGTGTCATGCCAAGGGCGGGTGGAGGAGGACAAGTCAACGTTGACCGTGGCGGCTGAGCGGCGGCGGTTGACTTGGGAGCGCCTTGAAAGTGTTTCAATCATGGAAGAAACCGCGACTACTTGTGTTGTTTCTTGCTAGCAAAAGTCATATGTAATAGGAAACCGGTTTTGCTTTAGATTTCTTCTTGTGTTTTTTTTAAAGGGAGAAGAGCGAAACCGGGCCCGCTTTGTGGCTGCTAGTTATTTGTGGAGTTTGAGGATGTTCTTGGGGATGTTTGGTGTTAGCTCTTGAGGATGTTCTTGTTGGATGAAAATAAAGAGTATTTGTTGGTTGTTTTAACACTTTGTTTTGTATATGAATTTGGTCATGTGAATCCAATGTTAGTAGTGATTGCACCTTGGTTGTTGCGTTTGTTATACTAGACATGATTGGATGGGGTTAGAGAGGCTTTTTAGGTATATATTAGATGATGAAAAACATTAGGATATTTATTTGGTGCTGATGTTTTGATAATGTTTTAGACAAATATTCAAAATAACCAGAAATTTTGAAGTTGAGATGGTTGGAAATTCCAGTAAAAATCAAAATTGTTAACCACAAAAACCTAAAAGTAAAAAGAAGAAAAAATCTATATGGAAATTACCTACAAATTCGAAATTATTCAAAATGAGATCAACTTTTGCTTTCTTTGATGGCTGTCATCCCCACTCCTCTGTAACTAACTTTTGACAACTTCTTTCAATATTCGTTGTGTAGCCACTAAAGAAAGCAATTTGTGGTAGGAAGAGAGAGGGTGACTTGTTTCCTCATTCTTGTTTCAAACCACCAAGAAATCCAATTTGTTTCTAGTTTAGGTGATGGTAATATATAGTTTTTAGGAGGGTTAGGTATGAGGTATTTGTAGTAACTGGAATTAAAATCCGAGTTGTAAAACATAGGGAATTTAATGTCAGTGAAATTCAGCAAAAGACTTAAATAAAAGGTTCAAAAGGAGTGTTGTTAAATGAACTTCCAAAGAGTGGTTTAACATCAACAACCTAATCCCTAGAAAATTACACAAACATTATAACAAAAAGCATAGCCAATCGATGTATATTGAAATCTCGAACTTCACAATTGATGTAACTCATCATGTCATCTTCAACAAACCTTATTGGTATGTAGAATGGAGTTATGGAATTTTGGAACGATAATAGGTTTACCTTTCAATGCAAGGAAATAATTTTTTTTTTTTGTTTCTGTTTTTTGGAAACGCAAGAAAGAAACAATCTGACATTGCAAAAATGGAACGTTCTCTTCCTTTCTTGTGATTACATTTCAGTAATTTGTCCATACTTATCACTTTTCTAAGCTATACATACATACATACATACATACATACATATACGTGTCTGTTTGTGTGTTGCATTTTCGCAAATGCTAGAGCAGGAATCTTGGAATTTTTAAGAGATGAAAATGAATCCATACAAGGTTTTATTAAACAAAAAATAGTACAACACATAGGAGAAAAACAACATTAAGGAACCCAAATTCACAAGACAATATCATGCGCAATAATAGGATAATCAACCGGATCTCTAACAATTTCATAAACGAACAAAACTAAAGATGGTATCCATAGACCATTGATGAAAGATCGTTGATCACGTGGGTGATTCTTCCATACATAAAGAGCAATTATTTGAGGAACCATAAAGTAATCTTGAAGCATATAAACATGATACCTTAACAAATCCATCATTAATTTCACATAATAATCTTTTGTTGATTCACCTTGTAATGGATTAAGATATATCCAAATCCCATGCTCAACCATTATAAGGAGAAGATAACACATGTAGAAACCTAAGGTCATCATAAGGATCTTCTTCTCACTCGGAGTTGACTCGTCTTGACTCTTAAGTGCTTTTCGAGCTTTCAATACAATATGAGAGATCTTAGCCATGAGGAACATAGAAACTAGAACAAGAAACCTTGTAAGATAATCAATAATGCTTAAATATCTTTTGTAACTTTGATGATCATAAGGTTGATTCTTGTAATATTGAGTTTCTGATGAAATGAACATGATTTCTTTGCCATTTATCAAGTTAATACCATATCCGATGATCCATAACCCTAGCATGGTAAGAGATATATAAGCAAAAGGCTCAATGGACTTCCTCATTTTCCTCATTTTGTTCAATATGTGTGCATTGAACACCAAAAGAAGAAAAACCCGCAAATACCCTTCAAAGAGTTTACGAAAGATTACATTTTTTTCATGCTTTTTGTCATGAATCATGAAGGTTTGCAAGCGTATTGTCTTGAAATGGTAATTATCCTCTTCGTTTCTTTGGCTTCTAATGGTGATCTTTGCAGTTGGATTAATCAACCATCTTGTGTTAACACATGAGTATTCAATTCCAACTTCAATCAAACAATCTAATCCTCTTTCAAGATCCACATGATCGTACGACACTTTCCTACACCCAATCAAATACATTTTCCCTACACTTTGATCATATAAACCCTCCAAATATAACTTTGAGACATGTTGGTAGGATTCTTCCTTGACCTTTCTTGGGTTTTCTACTATATAAAGATTCATCGATATGTTGAACACCTCATTCTTGGGAGCTTCATAGAAATGGTTGTCATTTGTTCTAAATGATCCACCAAAAGACAAAACCTCTACTCTCACAAAAGTCTCGGAGCTTGAAAAAGTATCAATCCTTAGATCATTTAAAAGGTGAAAAATCCCATCTTTTTCTTCCTCAAGTGTAGGATACCAAAAAAGTGATTTCCTAATATAATTCAACAACCAAGGTTCTTGGATTCTTTCTTGAAATTCAATGGCTAAATCACTTTTTGAGTAATTGTACGAAAGATACGCGTTACTATACCAACCATCTTCATATAAACCAGGAGAAAGCATTTCAAGTCCAAAAAAAACAGGGTGGTAAAAACCGGTTTGACTTTTCAAACCATATATACTTCCAAAAACAACATTTCTTTGTTTAATAGAGAAAGATTTTGGGAAGTATAACAAAACCCCAGTGTCACATTTCACAAGCGTGGGACCCAAACATCCAGTCATCGAGAGCAACCCAGTTGAGGGATTCCATGTTCCTTTGACCGATAAAGTCAACGAAGATAAACCCGTTCTTCTTGCTGCCAAATGTGGGTCCATACTAGCAGGATACATTCTTAAAACTCCAGAAACCTTTTCTTCTTTGCATATGATGTTTTGCATGAGAATCCTTAAATTCTCATTGTTTCTATCAACAAGTTGAATCTCATTCCCTAAAAGAAAGGGACCAACTTTGTCTTGGAACCCGTTTTGGCCCCCGAGTTTTAAATTTGGCATAACTCTATATGCTTTATGTTCAAAAGACTTGAGAATTTTACAAAATTCAGAGTTGTTAAACTTGTTGACACCATCTTCTACCATTGCATCTTGTAGTGGATTTTGGTCGAAAGATTCAGATTCTGAAATGAGATCTTCAGAATTACTAGAAAAGATACCCAAGTGGGAAGTTATGTGAACGTTGTCAAAGTACTCAAAATCATCCTTTTTGTTCAAACTTTTCATTTCTCCATGGATTTGCTTGATTGAAAAAGGTGAAGTTTTCGGGTACTTAAGAACAAGAAAGATTTTGTCATGTGGGAGGATGACATGATCTTCATTGTAGGGGTTTCTAAGATTGTAATATGATGTCATGTCATCGGATTCGTATCTGGTTGGAACTTTCTTAAATGGGAAAGTTGAATTACCCAACAAACATACCAAATTTTTTCCACCCTCTGTTTCAAGATAAAAACCTTCAAAATCAACTCGAAGAGCAGACATACCAGGCTTTTTATGAAACTTTAAAAAGGGTTCAGAAATTACTGTGCTATTTCTTGTTATGCCAATTGATAGAACCCCACTGATGCTGATTGTGTTTTTCGGGTGGTGGGATGAAGTGGAGCTAACATTTTTAACCTCGAAGCTAACAATTTTCCATGGGGAGATGAATGATGACGTGGCATGTGACATGTCACTGTCATCAAAGGGCATCAAGGGTGCTCCATAGGAGTCCTGTTCCCAATCTCCATTGAAGAAAGAAAGCTCATTTTTAAGCCTAGAAGCCCAATTATCATCAGATTCTAACTCAGAAGCTGATGATATAAAAGGGTTGCAATGCTTCTTGATTTCAGTTAATCGAGTGTAGTTATGAATGAGTAAATGGTCAATAGGGAATGAAAAGTCATCATAAGAAGCTGCATCACTCAAAGGAAGAAACAATAGCAGGGTCCAAACACTTAGAACTTGGAGTCCCATAGAACAATTGGCTAAATTTCAGATTAAACAAAGATATTCAAAGAAGAAAAGTGCATGAACAATGGCTATATATAGAACAACAAAAAAAAGGCTTAGACTTTATGGGGAAACGAATATGTTGAACATCAAACCTGAAAGAATGGAGGGTTGTTCCAAATTTCTCTCTATCATTAAACCTGGTTCTTCTTTCAAAGAGTAACTGTAAATCAGAGAAGAGGAAGTATCAATAGAACTCTTGATAGTTCAAGGTTGGAAAAAACTAAGTTCAAACACACAAAGGAAGCATTTTTTTTTATTAAGGAAGTATCAAAATCAATAAATCATGAGCACATGCGAAGAAGATGATAGGAAGTCTCCCAGAGTTGACTTGTAATTTATTATTATGGTCAGTTGTTCGACGAATATGATTACAACATGTGAAAGTCTTCCCATTTGAAATCCTTCTTCTGATCATGATTATAATATTAGCTCATCAATTGCATTTGTTCGAAAGAGTTGTGTGATTGGGCCTTAAAGTGTTTGACGCATTTTATCAAACACCTAGTACGCTGGCTTCAGTTCAGAATACGATTGGTGTCTACTTCAAGTGTTTATGGGTACAATTACTGTAAATTGTTGAAGAAAATAATTGTGTGATCTGTAAGACACGAACGAGTAATATTTTTAGGTAAGAAATTCAATCAAGTTCCCACATCTCTGATAAATCTTGACTCTAGTTTTAAGCTTCTAGGCATTTAGCTTAAGTCCAGGCTTTTTTTTATGTTCAGATCCACGATATTATAATACCATCAATATCCATTTTTATTCATTGTCTAATTTGATACGAAATTGGTTATATAAAATCACAGCTGCAAATTGAAATCTCTATTCTAATAAATAAATAGATTTATTCTCCTACTAGGTGTGAGACCCGTGTATTACACGGATTTATTAAAAATAAAAATTTAATATCAATATATAAACATAAAATATTTTATAAAGTAATACTTTACATAACAAAATGTAATATTTTAAAACATTTGCAAAAGAAATTAAATCGTTTACAGTATTTATGACAATTTATTATCAAATTAATATGATGGTTT